CAAAAATATATCCCCAGCACTAAAACAAGGGTTCTTTGGATCATCTCCATCTGTAGATTCATAAGTAATCAAGCTCTATCCAAATATAAAAATTCTAGACAGTGCCTTTTAAAATTAACGAATGAGAAGGAGGAAATTCCAAGAATAAATCAGCAAATAACTTATTTCTGATCTCCACAGGACTCCAAGCTCTAGCATCCGAGGACAGTGTTCAGACACTGCATACAAAACCTTCTAGCCAGAGGTTCTCAGTGTTTCCAAATACTACCCATCCTTTCTCCTTTGTCCAGTCTCACAAGGGGAGTGGAACTTTCAGGAGAGCTCACTTCTTCCTCCCTACTTCTACAGGCTTCTGATCTCTTCCCTTTACCACACTGGACCCCAGAGTCTCTACCTTCCTTGCCAGGATTCCATACTGATCTTATTCTTCCTTGGGACCATTATTCTTATTTATCAGAGAGCTGGATTATTGCTGATTCTGGAAGGGGATTCTGTTGTCTTCCTCTATCACTGTGAGCCTTGAGCCCCATGAAGAATCAACTCAATTCAGGATGAAATTACAGTCTTCCTCCTTCTTATGGCCTTTTAAGGTATTTGATTGGTAAATTCATCACCATATTTTTTTTTTCCTTCAGGGAGCTTTTGCTAAATTCAGACCACTGAATGAATAATAAGGACTATAATCCATAACTAATAATTTCATTAAGATATTTTGTATTATGAGCAACCAAAAATGCTAATTTGTAATTTAGAAATTCATGAAAGTCCTTTTTAATCCTGATTTCACTTGATTATCTATTCCTTGGAGACATTAATTCAAACAATGCAGTGAAAACAAATACATCATGATCATTATATTTATGTTTAGCTTCTGTAAAAATTACTGTGATGAGAAGAGCCTCCTTTGTCCTTATACATTATTTTCTTTATGCATTCCTGTTTAGACTAATGATTCCCCCTAAGGCTTACAAATAATTAATTTTCATTTTATCAAACTACCCTAATGTGATTGCCTAATTTCTCAAGAATGAGCTTTTCTTTTCTTGGCAGATATACATCGCATTTAACACTTCTCCTGAGTTTTTGCTTTCTTTTGTTGTAATGACATAAAAACACTCATTTAGCAAGAAGAAATTGAAAACAAAAGGTGTCAAATTAACTGCTTTAATTTTTGTTAACGTTTCCCCGCACTGCAAAGTCAGCCAACATGTCCTAAAGAGAAAATAGAAAAGCTAAAACTACTGAGTCACAATACAAGTAAACTTGGAAATGTTTTATTATTAAACTAATTATATCTTTTTACACTTCTTTGCCTTTATGGAAAGAAAAAGATTGTGTGGTTCTTATTCAAAATAGGCTAAACAAGTTTCTTACCAAATATTCTTTTAAACAGATAATCTTGTCTCAAATTTGTCTTGAGATTGGGAAATACAAGGAGAAGCATAGGGAATGTTTCTATAATATTTTTTCTCTCCTCCTGAACCTCTTTTCATCTGGTGAACACTAATTAAAGTATATGAATAGGGAGAGAAATTAAAACATTGTATTTAACTTTTAGTTCAACAGTTGACAGCTCTACAGTTAAGTCTGAGCTTCTCAAGTCAAAGGACATAGATTACTTATGAAATTCTAAAATAAATTTATGGAAGTACTCTATAAAAATATACTAATTGGGCACCCCCACAACTATTTTCAGATAGATGTAGTGGGACAATGTAAAGTGACTGCTAAGTATCTTGTACACTGCAGTTGTTTGCAACATTCCCTCACTGTATAGCAGCCTATGGTTTAGGTATGTATGAACCCAGCACACTCTGATGATAAGCATATCAAACAGGCCTAAGACAACAAGAGCATGCAGTTGCCTGGCTATATTGAAGTAAGACAAGGAAAAGCAGTAAAAGAAAATAAAATCCTTCTTAACTGGTTCAGTGTAATTTGCATTGGTTCTTTCTAGGTTGTTTCAAAGCGAGAACAGGTGCTTTTATTGCTGCACCAGAACCTTTCCTCCAAGAGTATTTGTGGCTTCCACTCATTTTCATCTAAGTGGCTAATTACATTACTTTCTTCAGTCCCTGGGAATTCTATACTGGAGTTAAATAACATTCCCCAGCAGGATTTGGGTAAGATTTCAAGTGTCTCTGTATTCTTATGTGACTCAGAAATGGGTCTTGGACATACAGTGCATACTTGAAACTGACAAAATCGGAAACTCGCACAGCCACCTGTCACTCAGAGCACCAAGCAAACCTGTTTTTCCAATTACACTTCTCAAGGTGTAGATCAGAGTTCAGGGCACCTATTTTAAGTCCCTTGTTTGTTGACCCTTCCTTGCTCTTCCCAGGGGTGGAGAGGTAAATTGCCATGGAAGTCTCACAGATGTTTCCCAAATACATTGACTCTGACTTTTCAGCTCCAACCTTTTTGGAGGTAAGTATCTGTTTATGATCTCATAAGAACCCTCTACCTCGTATTTCATAAATGCTGCTTAAGATGTCTACCACTTGTCTTTGAAATGTGAGAATATTCATCACCTGATTTTGTTATCATTAATTTTCTGGCATGTAAGTTAAAACAAAGGCAGAAAGAGTACTCTTTTAACAACTTAGTATATGTGACACAATCATTCTTACCTGAACAGCAATAGGATTTCCTCCAAGTTGAAGTCATGTATATGTTGAGATATAGTGTAGAGCAGCTATCTTAAGTTAACATACTTATTTTCCAAGTAAAGTACATTACATATAACATATTATATTTCTTAGGATTTGGGATTTTTCTGCTTTTTGTTTCCTTACTACCAATCATGAAAATGTATATTTATTAGTTTCATTGCAGTTCAAAGGCTAAACAATGTTCAAACTTGCTAAAAGTCAATACAATGCATGAGCTGATTAGCTTTACATGCTTAAATGTTTGTAGATGTCAGACATTATACTCTTATTTATAAACAAAAATATTTCTTTACTTACATAAAATATTGCAATCAACAATTATGAGACTATTACTTAACATAACTCCCCTTTTGCCTAGCCATATTAAGGTATAATTGTCATATAAAATTGTGTGTGTTTACAGTGTATAGCCTGATCTTTTGATATATACGGTATATATATATAGTGAACTGATTGAATCAAACTATTTAATATATTCAAAATCTCACATGCTTATTTTTGTATTGAGAACGTTGGTAGCAGATTCCCTAGATAATTTTCAAGCACACAACACATTTTTATTAACTATAGTCACGATGGTGCACAGATCTCCAGAACATACTTATCCTTACTGAAACTTTGAGCCCTATGAGAAACATCTCACCATAAATAACCCTCAGCCCCACCCAGAGCCTCTGATTCTATGAGTTCAACCAAATTTCACACATGAGTGAGATCACGCAACATTTGCCTTTCTATGCCTGACTTATTTTACTTACTATAATGTCCCCCAGGTTCACACAGGTAAAGAAAATATTATATGTGTGTGTATAGATAGATATGTAATATTGAAAAATTATTCAGCTTTTAAATGAAGGGAATACTGTTATTTCTGACAATGTAGATGAACCTGGAAGACATTAAACTAAGTCATACAGTTGGCTCTCTGTATGTTTTTTTGAGAAATGTTTATTCAGGTCCTTTGACCAGGTTTAATTGAGTTTTTGTTTTCTGACTGTTGAGTTTTATGGCTTCTTTATATAATTTGGCTTGGGACTCCTTTTCAGTTGTATGGTTTGCGAATATTTTCTTGTATTCCATAGGTTGTCCTTTGATTCTGGTAACTGCCTTCATCTGAAATACAGATGAAGGTAGTCTGTGATGAGCAGTGGTAACCAAGGATAAAGGTTCAAAACACTGATCCAGAAACTAGCCACAAAAAAATCGGAAGTAATTATCTGACTTGTTATAAGTTTTTCTTAAGATTTGTTTATTTGAAAGACTGAGAGAAAGAAGAGACAAACGAAGAGACAGAAAGATCTTTCATCTGCTGCTTCACTCTCAAAATGGCCACTATGGCCAGGGATAGGCCAGATTGAACCCAGAAGCCTGGAATTCCATCAAGATTTCCCACATGGGTAGAAATGGCCTAAGTACTTGAATCATCATCTTCTGCTTTCCCAGGCACATTATCAGTGAGCTGGATCAGAAGCAAATCAGATAAGACTTGAAAGAGCACTCCAATATGGGATGCCAACACAAGTGGCAGCTTAAGCTGTTACACCACAATGCCAGCCTCTACTTTCAAATAATTGTCCATTCACAGAAAATTATCAAGTTGAACAGAGAACCCATATACAGTTTTTCCACTGAATCCATCTTATATAACTATATTGCAATATCAAAATGAGAAATTGACTTGACAACATACTTTATCATGTGTTAAGATTCATGTAAACACTATAGCAATCAGGATATTTATTTATTCTATTATTACAAAAATTTATCTGTGATGCTCCTCCTATTCTCTAATTCTGGTAACAACCAATCTGTTCCTCTTTTCAAACATACATTACCCTATTCTGGCCATGAAAAAACATAGCTAATTCAAATAGAAGAATATTTACAAAATACCTTACTCCCTAAAAATGTCGTGGTCATCAAAAACAAGGAAAGTTTGTGAAACTGTCATTATGTAAGAACACACAGAAATAACAATAACATATAATGTGGAGCCTTGATGGTATTCTGAAACAGGAAACAGATTTTTGGTAAAAACTAATAAGTTCAAATGAGTGTATGTTTAGTTCATAACGATAGACCATGATTGGTTTATGGTTCATTGTGGCAAATGTGCCATACTAGTGCAAAGGTTAACAATAAAGGGAATAGGTGGGGGATGCATGGGGACTTTCTGTGCTATTTTTATAATTCTATGGAATGGAAACTATTGTAAAATAACAATTTCCTTCAAAAAATGAAGAATAACTGTGGTATGAGGGTTAAGTGAATTGCTCAGTGCCACCCAGATTAAAAAAAAACAAAAAACAAAAAACAAAAAAAAACCTGAGTTTGGGTTTGGATGCACGACTAGCGGCAGACTTTGCTGCCATGATTTAAGCAGGATTTGGTATGGTAGTGCCACTCTGTCCTTCAGTGATGCTTCTGTAGAATTACAGCCCACTGGATTCTGAAAACAAACGGTACTGCGCGATATAGATCTGCTTACCAGGAAAAAGGGATTTTTAAAATCATCTGTGGTAGAAACCTTTCATTGTGTCTCCAAAGAATTTAGTTGATTAAGAAAAATGCACACACAAGCACACAGACACATACATATATACCCTATAACCAGTTACCAAGAAACATCAAAATCTAAGTAAAAATTTGAGACATTTTGCAGACTATTTTGTCAGAATATTAATTCTAACAGTGAAGTACTTTAGAAGTAAATTTACTTATTTTTGATTTGATATATTATTTGATTTTATTTATTTATTTATTTTGATTTGCTTTGATATATTATTTGATAATACATAATCCTTTCATCCTATTTTAATAAATGCTGGAAAAATATTTAAAGAATATTGGCTAATGACCCCAAATTATTAATTTCCTCAAGGACCAAGTCATTATTCTGCCTGAGGTTTTTACCTGGTTTGTCTCACTTTTATTCTAAGTAAAAACTCTAGTCCCGAATTTCATTTTTTTCTCCACAAAGCATAAATAAGTTTAGACTTTTTATCCTTTCTACTTTGTTTCCCTCTCTCCTATATGTTCAATCTCCCCACATACCCCTTAGAAATAGTTCCCTTGTTCAATACTGCTATCAGCAAGCTGTAGCGATATAAAGGGTCTGATAAAGCAATTAACACCAGGGTGTAAATAGCTGACAAAACCTCAAATGTGTTATGTTGTGAGAAATATTTGTGCATTAGTAAAATGCAGAGCATTTCCCCTCAAATATTATAATTTAATGACAGAATTTTAATAAGAAGAGAATAGGAACAGTTTTGGAGTTACGGTCTGGTCATGTTCCCTTCTAGTTTTGTCCAATTCAACAGATGATGTATGGAGCAAAATATGACAGGTTGTTAGAATTCAGATATTTTGGACACAGGTCTTGGCTTCCATTGACTTATGTAATGGCAAAAGGAACTACAAAAGAAGCTAAGGATGCCCATCAAAAGTAGAGAAGTATAGAAGGATATAAATGAATGGGGAAGGTACAAGGAATAAACTGCCAGAGAAAGCAATATTTGTGGGCTGAATGCCAATTAATACATAGTACTATAGTATGAGACAGAAAACATGGAAGGGAACCCAACCTTATCTTCCTGGGATAAACCCCACTTAGATTTGATTGAAATATTCTCTTTTTTATGTATTAGTGGAATTGCCTTGGCAAAGATTTTGTAATGTGGTTTGCCAAGGGTCATCACAGATATTGACCTGTAGCCATCCTTTACTATATCTCCTGCATTTTGATATCACAGAGTTATTGGCTTTGTCAGGGTTGCATTAGGGTCTGAAGCCCATGAGTACACCTTTCATTTATCACAGTGTGCCTTCAAGTGATATTCCAACTTCAGCATTATAGCAAGAAATGAGCACCTGACCCATCACATCACAAGAGCTCTTTATTCATTATTACATCATTTTTTTAAAATTATTTGCCTTTTCCAAGTAGAATGTGAGATTCAGGAAAGTGGTATTTTTGTAGGTCCTTGTCAATCATTTGGTTTCAAAGAAACTGAAGGGCCCAAATGCCTAAGGAACAATCTATTCCATAATTTCTGTATTGGGATTCTTAACATATAATTATGTGGTGAAAGGGACTTAGTCCTCACTCCAACTCAAGAAACCACTTAAGGAAACTGACAGTTACCGAAACACTTACTCTAAAAAGAAGCAGAAATTATTTTTCAGGCATGCTTTTCCTTGGATTTAGATAAAGAGTTGAAAATAATAGCTTATGGCTTTACTTGCACCTTTATTAGGAGGGTCTATTTATATCTATTCTTCCTAACACAAGGTAGAAGATCCAGTAGAATCATGTGTGCAGCCTTAGAGATCCATGTCCTAGTTAATATAAAAATACTAATTGTATTTATCCTATCTTCCACTCACCCTCTTTCTTCAACCCAGGACATCAGGTTACAGAGAAATATATTGCATAAGTTACAGAAATAGATTTACTTCTGCAAAATGATAGAGTTCACTTTGGTGGGTAAGCCAGTTTCATTACAATTTTAATTACCAAAGTCATTCAAGCAATATATGGTAAAACTGTAATGGTCTACTTATTCCCTGCTGGAGGACACAAAAGTGGGAGATTTACATCACAGATCTCTCATTTCTAGTTCCCAAAACATCAAAAAAGGAAAAAGAAGTAAGGAAGGAAGGAAGGGTGGGAGGGAAGGAGGGAGGAAGAGAGGTAGATAAGGAAGGAAAAATAATCTGTAAGGGCTCTAATTTACTTTAAAAGCAAAAAGAAATGGTAAATGATGAATTACATACTCAGAGATCCTTATAGTTTAACAGTTTGCTTCTGAATCCAAATATAGTTAACTGATAGGGAACTGTCAACACTTAAAATTTTACATTTAATCTTGCAACTTGGGCTTCTTTTCAAAGTTTTCATATTTTAAAAACACATGGTTAATTAGGATAATATATGTTTCGCTAAATATAATAACACCTTCAAGGGAATGAACTAGGTGAGCTTAGCACTAACTTAAAATTTAATGGAGTGTTAAAGAGAATACAGAGATACTGTGAACCTGTGAAGGGATGTGAGTATATGCGTGCATGTGTGTTTGGTATTTAGAATTTATTTTCATTAGTAAATATTATTTAAATAATGTTTCTTTCATCACTCACCTATCAGAATCCATAAACTAAATGTTGAGAATAAGGCACATGACCTTATAGTAGCTTACTTTCTGTTCTTCCAGCATCCTACATTTAGAACATTAGTCTCATCCATGCTAAGTGCCACCTTGCTAAGCCAAGACTTCCATTAGGTCAAGATTAATGTAACTAATGAGCAATCTCTGCCTGTGTTTGGAAACTTCCCCCCACCCAGTCATTTATACTCCCCCTTTGTGATCTGTCATTATGACACAGTCACCCTTGAGATAATGGATGTTGAGCCAAGTTTAGCAACCCTGTCATAGGACTGATTTTCCTTTCTCTCCTCTACCTCACCCCATCAGTCCCCACCTTCTGGGACAGCATTTACACTTGTGATTGTTATTAACTTAATAAATCCTACTTTGAATGCTTCTTAGGAAAAGACATAACACTTATTCAAAGGCAGGCACTAGCCTTCATTTACTTAGCTTTCTGGTTATGCTCAAATACCTCCTCTGCCTTACAGTTAGACACACTAACGAGAAAACAGCTACTAATTCCTTCCCCAAAATTCTTACTGATGGATACATTTATAGGATTAATTCCAAAGAGTTTTGCAAAAAAAAAAATTTTAAAATGTTGGAGATAGTGTAGGGGGGGCTTGTCCTAGAAATAATCAAGAATTGGGTAACAAACACTAGGAAGTGTAAAGCAGCTTTGTCCCTCTTTCTGTTTTAGTGCTTGTGAACATAAGCTTCAGCTGAAAAATCAGCAAATCACACAGCAATTGGGCGTTGTTGGACTGATTTTTGGAGCAGATTTGATACAGTTAGAATAGCACTTCCAGAAAATGAGATGCAAGTGTAGAGAAAAAAGCAATGTCATATAAACTAGCTTTTAAGAAATAAATTTACTTACTTTATATGAAGAGACAGATTTAATATACAGCTTTTTTTCAAAGAAGCCTTTTATTTAATGAGTACAAATTTCATAAGTACAATTTAGAAACATGATGGTTCTTCCCCCCATACATGCCCTCCCACTCCCAATCCCATCCCACCACCTCCTCCCTCTCCCATCCCATTCTTCATTAAGACTCATTTTAAATTAACTTTATACACAGAAGACCAACACTATACTAAGTAAAGATTTCAACAATTTGTACCCGCATACAGATAAGCAATTTTAAGAACATAACAATACTTCTCACCCTCTCTCGTCCTTTGTTTCCTTTCTTTTAATTTTTGTGAAAACATACTTTAAATTTACTTTATAATCAAAAGTTAAACCCTCCAATAAAAAATTAAACAAGTAGAAACAACACTGTTTCTCAGGGGTATATAAAAGGGCTATAAACAATAATCAAATCTCAAGATGTTAATTTCACTCATATATACCACACTCTTTTGTATTGTATATATAAGCTACCACATACCAGAGAAAACATGATATTTGTCTTTTTTTGGGTTGGCTTATTTCACTAAGCATAATGTTCCCAAATGCATCTGTTTTGTTGCAGAAGACAATATTCCATTCTTTGTTTATGTGTGTGTGTGTATGTATCACATTTTCTCTATCCAGTCATCAGTTGCACATCTGGGTTGATCCCTATCTTAGCAATTGTGAAGGGAACTGCTATAAACATGAGGTTACAATAACTCTTTTATATTCTGATCTCACATCCTTTGGGTAAATTCCCAGGACTGAGATGGCTGGGTCATATGGTACATCTATTTTCAGATTTCTAAGGAATCTCATGCTGTCTTCCATAGTGATTGTACCAGTTCGCATTCCCATCAGCATTGTATTAGGGCCCCCTTTTCCTTACATCCTCACCAGCATTTGTCATTTTTGCATTTTTGGATGATAGCCATTCTAACTGGGGTGAGGTAAAATCGCCTTTGCTTGTTTTGTTGCTGTCAAGTTTCTTGAGCTTCTTATATACTCTGGATATTAACCCTTTATCAGATGTACCTGGACGGAGTAAGTGATTTTTAGAGGAGTTTAACAGGTACAAAGAACAGACAATGGCCTGGGAGAAAATGTACTAGGTTCTGGGTATGGTGTTGACTTTCAGTCTCTTATGTGAGATGAGTTTAATTTTCCTTGGGAGATGAAACAAAAGAGAGGAGACAAAAGGGCCTTTGGAAGATTCGGTCTTTAGGCAGAAAAGAGTATCTTCAGGGAAAAGACTCTTGCAGCATCTGCTCTTTCCCAGGGGCTTTCATTTTAAAACAATCAGCATCCTGGAGCTGGTGTTATTGTATAACCAGTAAAACCACTTCCTGTGTCACCAGCATTCCATATGGTCACCAGTTTGTGTCTCAACTGCTCCATTTCCGATCCAACTCCGTGCCAGCTCCTGGGTTCTGCCTGGCCTAGCCCTGGCCATTCAGGCCACCTGGGGAGTGAACCAGTGGATGAAGATTTCTCTCTATGTATGTCCCTCCCTCTATGCAACTCTTTCAAATAAATAAATAAATGTTGACAAGCATCCTAAGGTACCATGGTCTGGGATATGTTCTTGAACTTTTGGGCAACAAACCCTCCCAGGAAATCATAGTTTGTGGATCTAGTTCTTTATCTCACAAATGCTGGGATGAGACTCATAGGAAGGGAATGTGAGAGTCGAAAAATAAAGTGATATTGTCCTTTTTCTTTAAATATTTATTTATTTATTTGAAAGTTGGAGTTACACCAGAGAGAAGGAGAGGCAGAGAGATAAAGAGGTATTCCATCTGCTGGTTCACTCCCCAGATGGCTGCAACAGCTGGAGCTGCACATATCCAAAGTCAGGAGCCAGGAGCCAGGAGCCAGGAGCCAGGAGCTTCCTCCCAGTCTCTCACGTGGGTGCAGGAGCCCAGGGACTTGGGCCATCTTCTTCTGCTTTTCCAGGCCATAGCAGAGAGCTAGATCAGAAGTGGCGCAACTGGGTCTCAAAAGGATGCCCATATGGGATGCCGGCACCTCAGGCCAGGGCATTAACCCAGTGTGCCACAGTGCTGGCCCCGTCCATTCTTAAGTAGTTCTTTCATTTTTCGCTTGCTTTCCCCCCTCATTTTTAAACCTCCCAAAACTAGAGCTCAAAGAGCCAGACTGTGAATATGTTGAGTGTAAAATGGAGTTCTAGTAATTTTCATGAATCAGAATATTCTTTTAAACAGTTATTCTTTCAGATACTTATCATACTACAAAATCCCAATCTCTTCTGCTTATCCAAAATCTTTCTGTGAATTGAGAGTAACATAAAGTTCTATACTTAAACCCCAAATGTTTCATTGCTTCACCTGGATTATAGCTCATTAGAGTAAGTTTACATTGCCATAGTCCTAACATGGTTTATGTAATAACTAAATTTATGTACTTAATGTATTGATTAAAAGTATGGAAGATCAACTGGACTTAGCAAGGTGAAGTTCGGCATAAGATTTTCTATTTTTCTATCTCATATTCTTGTAATTACTGCGTGGCCTTTATGAAGAAAAGCGTTTTAACACAGAACATTGAAGAAAACAGAATATAGTGGGTTCATTTGTAGTCTGTCACTCTTTAAAGCAATGTAAGGGTAGGAAGAGAACAAATAGATGGTGGCAAAAAGTAAATCAAGTCATCTTGATATCTTTTTATGTGGTAAAAGGTTTTCCATGGCTCCACTTACACATTAAATCTACTATTTTCAAGGTGGCTTTAACTTTCAGAATGGAAAACTACAAAATGAAGAATTACTCACTTCAAAATTCCCTTTAGCCCACAGAAAGTAAAAGCACAATGCCGGATTTAGGATGTCAACACTATAATTCTATTATGGGTAACCTGAAGATGCACAGTTAAGTCTCAAACTGTCAGCTAGCCCTCTGACCAGACTTCTCTAATGCCTTCCATTTGCAAATGCATTTGCAAATTAACTGCTCATATTCCCTTCTGAACACTTGGCAACCCTTTCATGAACACCAAAGGACAAACATTTATTTAAAACACTATTTTCAGATTAAGGTAAATTAGTGATTACGGTAATACTGAGGATTTTCTCTTCAGTCTAAAAATATAAGAAATCAGGTTCACATACAATGCATATTTTCATTTAAGGAATGAGAAGATGTTATCATTAAAAATGTTTCCCATCATCTTTCATTATTCAAGAGTAGCTTTTATTTCAGTGTGGGTTTTCATCAGTTACATTTGTATAATTTCACATGGTTTGATTTTCTCTGTGACTTTTTTTTGGTCCCAAACTGCCTGCATAAATGATTATATATTACATCTGATAAATGATTGATGATTCCTCTCTAAACTATTTCGCCTATTAGAGCATGTTTCTCCTAGCTTTACACCTTCGTTAGCTCACGGCATTTACAGTTACATTATAAGATTAGCCAAAAATGCTTCCAAACATTTAAAAAAAATTTTCCTGAAATTCCAAAAAAGAAAACTGAAAGTAATTTTTATTTTTCTATGAACCCCTGAAAGTTTGGCCCACACATAGAACAATGTGGTATAGCTCACCCTACTACTCCTATATAAAAGGCAATTCTGCTATCCCATCATTCTTTCATTTAGTATCCCCTTTTACCTTTAAATGTCCTTATTTAATTTGCATATGTATTGGTAAGAATATTTAGCTCCCTTACACCAATCGTGTTCAATAGTGAGAATTCCTCAGTTTTATATTTATCCCACAAATCCATTCCATAGACTACAACTTTCATATGTGTACTACATATTATTATAAATAATTGATATGCTATTTAGTTTCGGTACATATTCCTTTTAAAATTTTATTTAAGGTCTACAAACTTCATGGATTTCATATATATAGATTGAGAAACATAGTGATACTTCCCTCCTACTCATAACCTCACCCTTATTCCTCTTCCTACTCCTATTCCCTCTCTTAATTTTTACAAAGATCTATTTTTGATTTACTTAATACTCATAATATTAACCCTACACTAAGAAAAGAGTTCAATAAATAGTGTGAAGCAAAACAAATTTTTCCTCAACAGTAGAGACAAGGGCTGTAAAAAAAACATTAAATCTCAAAATGTCCATTTCATGTCAATACATTACATTTGAGGTACTCTATTAATTACCACAGATCAGGAAAAATTTCTGGTATCTGTATGTTTGGGACTGGCTTATTTTACCATGTATAATCATGTCCATTTTTTTTTGCTGAGTAGTATTCCAAAATGTATATAAACCATATTTTTATCC